GGGATCACGCAGCTCACAAAAGGCGAAGGCTCCCTCCGGTGAAAAGGTCTCTGGTGTATTACCTGAAAAGCAGAGAGGTCAGGATGCAGGATGAGTCCAGCTATCGGCGCGTGTTGCACGGATATGCAGCCCACCAGCTTCCCAGCCTCCTGAAGGAGAGAGAATTCCACCTCGGAACCCTGAACAAAGTGTTTGCCTCCCAGTGGCTCAACCACCGGCAAGTGGTGTGTGGGACAAAATGCAACACAGTAAGCACCACCTCTCGGTTTCTCTTCCCTCTCTTAATTATTCCACCCCCAGATTATGCTTACCGTAGTCCAAATATGTAGGCTGCCAGGGAAGGTATTAGGAAGTAATTCGGGGAGAAGTGGAAATCCTGAATGATTGATTTTGAACAAAGGTAATGCTGAACGGGTTACCCTTTCACATCTGAAAACGTGGCCTTGTGCAGGTGGCTGCGAACCTCACGGCACCTGATGCAACATCTGTCCAACCGGCGCAGAGCAATTTACATCTGCCAGCGGGATGGAGAGCAACAATGGGGATGGATTTTTGTTGTTGTCCTGCAAATGTCAAGTTAATGAAAGGCACTGGCTTTGCTAAATGATAGCTATCATGCCTGCCAGAAAAGGTGCTTGTAAGACTCTTTTTCCTTGTGCTCAGTCTCACACACGATTTGGTTTCATGTTTGGTTCTGTGTTCATGGGTGGAGAAGTTGTTACAGAACTAAAAACTGCTCCAGGTACTTATCAAAGTAGCTCTAAATATTCTAAGCTTAAAAAAAAAAAAAGAATTTCATATCTTTAGGATTATCCTTTGTTTGTTCATGTCCTCATTTTTCATCCTAAATCTGTTTTCAGTGGGTAGGTAACTTAGGTACCTTTATATGTTTCAGCAAAAACTGAAACTTCTTCAGATTCTTAAAGCGATTGTTTGGATTTGAAACATTATAAGGGATATGAAAATTACGTTTTATGTGATTAATAAATGGAGGAGATCACATTTCTTAGGTAATGCCAGACTTTGCCCAACTTCATCGGCTGAGGTGGCAATTTAATTTATGAAGTTCTGACTGAATTGGTGCAAAATTCCTTATTTCTTCTCGGCAGGTTGGTTAGTGCCACAGGAATGAATCGAGCATTGTAAGCAGCGTATAGCAGCTCTTAAACCTCAGAGTGTATTGGTTAGTGTGATTGCTTCTTTGCCTCAAGATTATTTTTTTAAGCCACGCTCAGGGCCTGACCTGCAAGGGACAGTGGTAATTTTTTTAAATTTCAGATGTTTTGTTATTGTTCGTAGTTACACAGCGTAAGGCTTTCATGCTGTAGCTCTTAAGAAGCAAGGCCTAGCTCTCTAAACAAAACCAGTCATTTGTCAGGACTAAGCCTCAAACTTTCTCCACCTGTGTTCACTGTCTTGGCTGGTCAGCAGCTAGCACTGTTCCTGGAGCCGCTTACAGGAGACA